TGGCGATAATCTCGAGAGCGCATCACCCAGGGAATCTTCGCAAGGAACTATCTGATAAAATAGCCCGTATATCAACTTTAAGGAAGCGACACTCTAAAGCATATGCTAAAATCAAACGTGTTGCTTCTGATATTCGTGATATTGAAGAGACTATCGCTCGATTAGAGGCCGAGTTGGACCAGAAGAAAGCTCAATTGGCCCACTATGAGGATGTCAGAAAAGAGCTTGAGCATCAAAGTGGCCAAATTTATACGAAATTTTGCCGTACACTCCACGCAGCTGAGCAGACTCGTAAGGACATTGTTGCTACTCTTCCTATTGAAGCAGAACTCAGAAAGGAGATCGAGGGACAAGTCCAAGCGGCTCACCGGGAGAAACTTTCTGCCTTCAAGTCTAGGCTAAAAACCCTCAAGTTAATGAAGCCTGATGTTTAGCTCTTGACCTGTTCTTGGCTAAGGAATTTTGTATCTTTTTCATTTTGTTTGTCATCCTTTTGTGTTTAGATTAACAACATTGAATGAAAACGATATCGCTTTTGCCTTTTATTGTCTCTTTTTGCTGGAATCTGGTTCAAGACAACAGAAAATAATGCAAATGCTATCAAAATTCCCTTTATTATTTATTTAGAATAATTCCATCAAATTACAATCGTCAGAGGTGTAGTGTTAACATGACGAAATATAAAACAGAATTACACTATAAATGGGCAACCCCCAGCCTGATTTAGCTGGGGTTTAGGGGGCCGCATGATTTACGGGAAGTATCTTTTAAGGAACTTCCCATTAATTGGCATCATGAGCCTATCTCCTTCTTGGTTAATGAGGCGGTATGCTCCGTTCGAATAGACTGATTCTATTACGAAGGGCCCTTCCCATTTAGGATTGAACTTCCCTTTGGTTTTGTGTGTCATCACCATGGGTCGTCTGTTGGCCAACACTAGATCGCCTTTCTTGAAGATCCGTTCCTTAACCTTTTTGTTGTAGGCTTTGGAAATACGGGCTTGATACAACTCTATTTGTTGTTGAGCTTGAAGTCGCTTGTCGTCTAAGGCTTCAAGTTCTTGCAGACGTCGTTGATGCTTTTCTTCTTCTGTTAGTCCAGTTGTGATAGCGACTCTCAGAGAAGGAATCTGAATTTCCAATGGTAGTACCGCCTCGCAGCCATATACCAAAGAGAATGGCGTAGCTCTTGTGGAGGTCCTTACTGTAGTACGGTAAGCCCAAAGACATTCACCCAGTCTTTCATCCCAATCGCGCCGGCTTTTAGAAACAAACTTTTTGAGAAGCTTCACTATGGTTTTATTGAAGGCTTCTGCAAGAATTCTAAATTTGTCACAGAATCTCTGAAACCCAAAGCTGACGAATTGTGTCCCGTTGTCGTGAACTATTCGCCTTGGGACTCCAAAACGGTAGACAACGTGATGCTTGATGAACTTGATTACGTTTGAAGTCTTGACTTCTTTTAACGGGATTACCTCCACCCATTTGGAGAAATAGTCGGTTACAGCTAAAATGAACCGGTGTCCCTTGGACGTCGGAGGGGAAATCGGTCCGACGATATCCATACCCCACATTTCGAATGGCCAAGTCGCCGATGTGGGGTGTAAGTTTCCTGGTGCTTGGTGGATGAAATCCCCATGAATTTGGCACGCGTGACAACGTTTAGCATAGTCAACCGCGTCTGAAAACATCTTCGGCCAATAATAGCCGATGCGTCGGAGGCGATCTCCTAACTTAGCTCCAGGCTGATGAGCTCCGCACATTCCGCCGTGAGCTTCCTTGAGGGCCTCTTTTGCTTCCTTCCGAGAGAGGCATCGAAGCAAAACTCCATCATGCGATTTACGATACAGGACTTGAGAGACTACGTCGTAATAGAATCGGAGGGCCTTTCGTTTGATAGAGGCCGCTTCCTTAGGATCTTCTGGCAGAATTCCATATACGGCATAGTCGATGTACGGGAATCGCCAATCCCTGGATTCAAACTCTATAGAGGTTGTACAGACTTCTCCTGACGGTGTCTCGTCTGAGTTTTCTTCTGTAGGAATTTTAGAAAAGTATAGTTTCCGTCCCGCGACTGGAATTGTTGTTTCAGTCTTCGGTGGCAATGCTAATAAGGTTGCCAAGGAGGCTAGAGCATCTGCATAAGCATTCTGAGCTCGTGGTATATATTCGATGAAGAAACCTTCGAACTTTTGAGCTTGCTCTAGCACTGCGAGGTAGTACGGGATCAAATCCTCATGACGAACTTCGTATTCTCCTCGGACCTGATTAACGATGAGTTGGGAGTCACCGTAAGCCTCAAGGTGTCGAACATTGAGTTCTTCAGCAAATTGCATTCCCAATAGCAGAGCATTATACTCGGCTACGTTGTTAGTGCAAGGTTCGATTAAGGAGAATCCTCTGGGAATTACATGGCCGTTCGGAGAGATTAATACTACTCCTACTCCCGCGGTGATTGCTCCATGAGGATTTGCTCTGGATGCACCGTCGAAGAATAATTTCCACACTTGCGTAGCTTCTTGAGTAACACAAGTTTCGGCGACTTCGTCAGGTAATTCCTCATACAACTTAGATGTTCCCGATACTGGATGATCGGCTAAGAAGTCTGCCAGTGCTTGACCCTTGACCGCCTTTTGAGGCATGAACTGCATGTCGTATTGCGACAAGAGAATGGCCCATTTTGCAAGCCGGCAATTTAGAGATGATGGTTTTGTCATCAGAACTCTCAAAGGATTTACCTTAGAGATGACCTGAATGGTCTGTCCAACTAGGTAATGTCGCATCTTTTGAATGGCGAATACCAAGGCGAGACATTCCTTTTCGACCGGATTGTACCGATGTTCGGCTCCCATCATAGTCCTGCTCAGGTAATAGATGGCTTGCTCTTGACCTTGATCATTGTTTTGGGCCAACAAAGCACCAAGAGAATGATAAAATTCTTCCTCTCCAATTCTGGGTTTATCTCTACCAACAAACAAGAGACCGGGAGATAGAATATAAAATTCTTCCTCTCTGATTTCGGGTTCGTTGTCCTATATAGGAAGCGCAACCTATTCACACTTTAAAATCCATATCACATGGGGGATGTTATCTCTATCCCTTATTAGAGATAAGCCTACATCTAACACATGTAGCCTACATATTCAATATGATAGTTCAAAGCCTAAAAGAGTTTAATTCTTTTAGCGCAACGTTATATGTGAAACGGACTTAGATAATTCACATACTAGCCCGACTCAAACGGTAGTTGGTAAAGGCATATCAAATCCGTTGATGGCTGAGGATTTGCCAAAAATCCTATAAGTATTATGACTATTTATTCTAAACAAGAATGAGTAATCATAATAAAATCTCAATAAAAAAGAAAAGTTCATTGTATTAACCAAAAGAGTTCAAGCAAAGCAGCACAAAAGAAAAGATGCATGTTTTCAAAATTACAATAATTTGTAATGACGGAATTCATCTTCTAATTTAGAAAGCTTTGTCGCGTAAGCCAATTCGAGCTCAGGTATCAGTTTGGCTTTAAATTTTCTTTCATCGATACTTTGAATTCTGGCAACCTCTTGTTCTTTGTCATCAAAAGTCTTGTTCTGGAAATTAAGTTGCCGGAGTATATCCACCTCAGCTTGAGTTACTTCTGCTAGATCAGACTCCAAAAATTCGCAAGCATCCTTAGCTTCGGCAAGTCGTTTCTCTAACTGGGCTACCTCTGTCCGACGTGATTCCAAATCACGATACAGGTCTACCTTGATTTGAGCTTTCTTGGCAGCACTCACCCGGAGTTGATCAATGCGAGTCTTCAGTGTTTGAAGTTCGGATTCAGCGGATTTCTGAGAATCACGCCATGCTTGTAGCCTCAGGTCCATTTGAGAAGCGATGTAAGAAGATGCGCCATTAGCTCGAAAGTTCTGCAACTGTTCAATGTGTTGTTTAAGATCGTCCAAATAGGCTTCAATGGAATTAGATAATTCAGCACACCCCTGTTCTCTAATTCCTGACACATGGCGATCGAGAGACTTAGACTTCTTGAAAAGTTCAAATGGTGAACCTTTAAGGAGAATTCGATCAACCATGGCGTTTAAGAAAAGAATGAAGCTTTGGATGTCAATGCAAAGGGCAATTTTGTCCGGTTCTTCATCTGCCAATAAAGCTCGAATGCAATCGGACAATGATGAAGAAAGATCTGCAAAGAGAAATAGATATAAAATATACACGTTCGCATACGGCAATGAGTAGAATTATCCCAAATTCAAAGTGTAATTACCTTGACTTGTCGAGGCTGAGACCTGCTCCACGACATCCGAAGTTTGTGTAGAGGTAATGCTGGGCGGTGGATTCATTACATCAAACCCCTGATGGTTTCGGATCCAGAGCGACAAGATCTTGAGGAACAAGTTCTGTCAATGAGAAAAGGATGAATAAACACTTCGCAAGTATTAATCTAACTTCGAAGCACAACTAGATGAGACTTACCAAGTTGAGCCGAAGTAGCAGGAGGTTGCTCTTCCACTGTAGCCTTCGACCCTCCTACTTCATGATCCACTGGAGTCGGAGCAGAAGGCACAACAGGTTCAGCTTCGACAATAGCGGAAGTCGAAGGAGCAGTGGCCGGTGGTTCAACTTCAGCTGGGGGACTTGCCAAAAGTAAGAAACCCAGACCTTCAGGTTGATCACATTCACCAATGACGGTAGACGCATCAACTTCGTTGGTTGGTCCTACGTCTAAAATTCTTATTTCAGTCCCCCAAGAACAATAAAAGATGAAAGTACAGTTGAAAACTGGAATCTAAAAGAGTATACCTTTTGATGCACCTACTTCAGCTGAATCAACTCGCGTAGTTGGTCCTGCAGTAGCGGATGGAACCAGAGTCGATAATATATCGGAGATCTCCTGGTGTACATCTTCAGAAATGTCAAGATCGAAGTCTCGCTCATCGAAATCTCCGATACCCATATCATGGGTAAGTTCTATGTCTTTCAGTTCGTTGACAGGAAGGTCTATTAAGCAGAAAAATCTGTCAACATATATGCAAGAAATATGAAAGAATCAAAGCAAACAAAATAAGGTTACCTTCAATAACAATTGCGGGGTCAGCAGCGCTACTATCCGCACTCACCTCCTTTAGTTTAACTAAAAGAAGATAAAGCGCACAAGTTAGTAGGAGAGGAACACGTTCCGATTCACTTATCTTCCGGAAATGCCCCCCAAATGAGAAAACATCTGTACCTGTGTCAGCGGTTGGCAAGGTCGATGTGGTAGCTGGAGGAGAGGCAATGTCCATGTCAAGGGGTTCTTCATTCATAGCCTTGTGTACTTGTTCAGTGAAACTGGGTTCATCAACGTCCATTAAACCCGGAGAAGAAGGTTCAGGCACGATTTCCCCTTCCTCTTCTGGCTCAGCTGCAACGGTAAAAGGATAAACATGATGCTATATTCAAAGATAAGATAACGAAAAGGAGATAAAAATAAGATTTTACCCCTTTCATCGACTGGAAAATCCATTCAAAGATAAGATAACGAAAAGGAGATAAAAATAAGATTTTACCCCTTTCATCGACTGGAAGATCCTGAGTGAACTTCTCCTCAAATAACGGAGAAAGTTGGCGTTGCCGATGAGCCGTCTTCTTAATCCTCTTCGAGGCACGAGAATCCCGAGGAACCTTAGAGCTCTCATATCTAAACTTGGTACGCAATTCGGTTCCTTGAGCTGGCTGAGGTTGAACCTCAGAAGGAGCAGTAGGCCGAGATCTTTTCCTGCTAAGAAGTGGGGCAACCTCTTCTTCTTCTTCTTCTGTCTCTTCCTCCTGAGCAGGCCATCTCACGGTCATCTTATTGGAGGATGATAGGGGAATGTTCTTTTCCTTCATTCTAATACCCTTAGAAGGAGCACCGGGTGATTTGGGTGAAGAAGCTCGACGAGTCCTGTGAGCCACGGGAGACAGAGGGACATCAGCCTCTGCTTCATCTCTATTCTCATCCTCTTCACTGGATGTTTCAAAGTCGTCACTTGCTTCGGAATCAGCTACCTGTTTTCCTTTGCGGGAAGATGTAGCAGGTTCCTTTCCCTTTTTTGATACAATTCTCCGAACCACGACCTCAGATCCCAGTTCGGAAAGCTTTTTCTTCGCAAGAGGAGTATTGGCGGCTAAAATCCACCGGTAATAAACAAAGGTCGTGCGGAGTTCAGGCTCAGCAACAGGCAGACTAAATTGAGCTCCGGTACAGCCGGCAACATTCAGCGACAGGCAAACTAAATCGAGCTCCGGTACAGCCAGCAACATTCCAGAACCAGGCACGTACCCCATCAATAAGGCCTCCGCAGTTTATCAACCATTTATTGGGATTCCCGATGTATAGTTGATCGTAGCCGAATTGTCGCGCAAAACGGCAAGGAAAATAAGGCTCAATCCTGCAAAGGTTCCTCGACCGAAAAACATTATAGCCTGGGCGAATGTTCATGAGCCAATGGAAGCTACCCACGTCGAGAGAGGTCCTGTTAGCCCCAGGCATTTCCTCGTCAACAAGCGTGTCATTATAGGCACCAGAAAACCGAGGGAAACACTTATAGAATTCCCAGCATTTGGCATTCTTGAATTGCCTCACACGGTCAGTCCATGGTCGGGAAGGATATAACCACTTACATCCTTCTAAGAGCTGCAGCAAGGGGATTTCTGGATCAGACGCATCAGGTGCTGACATCATGTCCGCTCGATGGAGACCTAGCCACGCCATCAAATAGGTGTACGAAAATTCGACGCTCGACAAAGGAATCTTAGTTGAAGGCTCGGCACCCACTTTAGTAAAGGTGTTGGCTAGGTTACGCAAACCGCTATGGAGGTCAGCAATCATAGCAGAAAGAAGAGATAACCTGCCTCTGACAACTAGTTGCACGGCGGGAAAGAGAACTTCAAGAGGAAGCGCCTCAGAAGACTGATGCGGCACTACACATCTCTTTAGCCAAATGGCCAGATAACCAGAAAGAAGAGTTGCAGGCTTCATTCTCTTTGTGGCTTGCCACAAGAAAGTGTTGAACTTGGTGCCCTTAAGAAAACCACCTTCAGATGACTCAGTTCTGTAAGACTGAGCATTAATCTTCGTGATTAGCTGGTTGACGTCAGAAGGGGTCAGAATCGGTGATTCACAGACTTCTTCACCGGTCGGGCTCTCAAGGTTCTGAAATAGGTAGTCGGCGAACTGTTTTAAACTGACTCGAGCCGCCTTCTTACTCTTCACTTCAATCTTGGCTATCGCTATCTGATAATGACAAGTTAACTCCCAGAGGATGTCATAAGCAGGAGAGCAGGCCTTCTTCATTTTCATCAACTGACGATTATTAGGAAAATATTCTTGGTAAGGAGTATTCCCCAATGGCAATCCGGATACCTTCATCATTTCGTGGAGCGGAAGCCCTAATTCCCCATACTTGGTAAGAAAGGTATTGGTCTCCGGAATATAAGACTCGAACAAAGCCATAAAATGATCTGCACTCACTGGGAGACCATGCATACTAGCTCGGATTGGAGCATATAATCCCAAATCCCGCAACTCCTGATCCCAACGATGGAGTACGTATTTGGTCATCCTAGCCCACCATTTGTCAGGAAGAGAATGAACCCATCCATAACACCTGAATCTTGGAATGGGAAGTTCTCGACCAACCCGAGCGAGCTTATTCTTTACGGTATTGGCCCTTATCATCAGTTCGTTTTGGGGCCCACCATCTGGTCCAAATATACCAGGGTGAAGACCACGAACATCAGGCCTACCGACAGAGCCAGGAGCGCTAAT